AAAAAAAATAAAAATGTCTTGTTTGGTTCCTTATTAGCAACTCTGATAAGACATTCGGTTGGAGGAAACATCTGTTTGCCAGCCCAAGCTGGGTAGGTGTGTGTGTGTGTGTGTGTGTGTGTGTGTGTGTGTGTGTTCCTTGCCCGCGTGATGTTAGATGACAGGAAGTTGGCTCTCTGTGTGTTTGGAGGACTGCCCTGTGGTGTTTGAGAGCTCAGCATGATAGCCTCGATGCCTCATTGCTTAAGACAGTCTTGAGATACTGACTCGCCTTACGTCATCCTCATCGAGGCAGAAGAGATAAAGCTGAAAGGTTAAAGAGTCTAGGGCAGTGGATCTCCACCCTCCTAATACCGCGACCCTTCCTAATGCCATTCCTCATGTTGTGGTGACCCCCAATGTCATTGTTACAAATCGAACATCATGAAAGCATAGTGATGAATCACAAAAACAATATGTCATGATAGATGTGTTTTCCGATGGTCTGAGGCGACCCCTGTGAAAGGGTCGTTCGACCCCCAAAGGGGTCGCGACCCACAGGTTGAGAACCGCTGGCCTAGGGTTTAAGAATGGTCAGCTCAGAGATCCCGGCAAACGCAGAAGGAAACAGGAAACCCACTCCGGCCGGTGTGGCTCAGAGGTTGAGCCAAGACTATGAAACAGGTAGTGACTTCAGGGAGTTTCCCGAACACCAAGGGGGAACATGGAGACGCTACAGAGGAGGAGGAGGAGGAAGGGAACGAGAGAGAAAACTCCAGACACTGGAATCCCCTCCCCTTCGACGTTGAGCAATGGCTGAAGCGGGAACAATCGTTTCCAAGAGGAAGGCCAAGCAGAGAGAACCTTCATTCCGCTTCCCACGGGGACTCGGGGAGCAGAAGGTGAGAGAAGGTGGCGAAGAGCACCCCTCGTGTTCCCTCTGCCGTCGGAGGGAGTCCACCGAGGGCGGGGAAGGGAAGGCAGAGGCTGTGGCGACTGGGGGGTCAGGGATGGATGGAGGGCGTGCCGTGTCCCTGCACGGAGGTGGCCGGAGTCAATCAAGAGGGCCACCGGGTCATGACAGCACAGGGCAGACCACACAGCGCTGCCATCACCTCCCCAGGAGCCCAGCCGAGACCCAGGGGGGCAGCTCCGGGCACACGGGGCCCTTCCCCCACGGCCCAGAGGACAGAGCCCCTTCGTTGTGCCCAGGCGAGAAACCATCCCTGATTCTGACAACGCAGCATGTCTGACGAGCCACGTGGTCCTCAATCCTGCAAGCTTCCCACCTCCAGCCGGCCCTGAACCCGCCACATGACCCCCCCACCTCCCGTGGTGTTTGTAAATGAAGAATCAAACACACTTTCCTGGAATACCTCCCTCACGGTGTGTCGTCGCCACCGGCATAGAGCAAGCTACCACCGTTCTAAGAGCAGGCCCCAGAGCCTGGCGATCCTGGCATTGCGGGGCCCAGGGACTCTCGGGCCCCCCTCTAGTAGCACCCTCTGCTCACTCTCTCTCCTCTCACGTGGCTCTGCTCTCTCCGTGGCTTTTACCACCGCCTGGCACCTGTATTTGTTTATTCGTTGTTTTCCCCGTTAGAACGGAGACTCCCTGACATCCAGGATCCCCGCCCCCACCCCACGGTTGTATCTTTGGGGCCTGGAAGAGCACTTGGCACAGAGCAGGCGCTCAGTCCATATTTGTAGGGTGACTGTAGAGAGGGACCTGGGCCAGGAATCTGTTTTCTGATTGTTTTAAACGGAAACCTCCCGGTCCTGAGACATCCATCACTGGGCAGGCAGCGCTGCACCAGCCGGAAGGAATAACCCTGCAAGCCTGCAAGCCGCTGGCCTGGCTCGGCCCTCCCCCTGCCCACGCCAGCCCTCCTCGGTCAGTGGCTCTGCAGTCGGTTGATTCACCCTCCTGATCCTCACTGAACTGCTGTGGGCGTCCCTGGAGGAATGATGTGGGTTTTATTGGTCTGTTTTGTTTTTGTTGAGGAGTCCCAGCCACACCGGTGCCGGCTGCTGGTTGAAATCTCTTTCTCTGCGGTTGTCTGCCCCCCTGGGACCTGGCCAGGGTCCCTCTCCCCGAGTTTTGCTTCCTTCCCGCCTCCTTTCACATTGTTGTGCCTTGAGACACAGTAAGGGGGTGTTTTCCCCGCCGAAAACGCCTCGCTTTCTGCCCACCACACCCCACCGGGCTCCCGGGCATCTTCGCATCTGAGCTCACATCGCCTGGTCTCTTAATATGTTTGAGGCTGGGCAGCCATCCTAATGTTGCCATGGAGACTTTCCATCATCCTTTGTTTCAGAGTGGATGCCCTCATGGGGAAGCTCCCGGGGTCCCCCGCTGGGATTGGGGGGTGCCAGGCCGTTTTGGAGGGGGCTGTGCCAACTCTGCACCTTGCCGTGAGGATGCCAGCCTGGGTCCGAGCGAGCGATGGATCTGAGAGCCCATCTTTCTATTTCTGTCTCCATTAGCCCTGGCCCCCAGCATCTTGTCTTATTTTTGCACCCAAAGGGCCACAGGATTCAGCTCAGGCAGCACACCCCTTCCTCACACGGGCTCCGAGATGTGTCCCCACCAGGCCCAGCGCACAGCCAGGGAGGGTGGCCAATCGTATCGTGATAACTACGCATGGGGCCAGGGAATCTCTCCGTACGTCATACGTCACATAAATCCCTGGCCCCCAGCATCTTGTCTTATTTTTGCACCCAAAGGGCCACAGGATTCAGCTCAGGCAGCACACCCCTTCCTCACACGGGCTCCGAGATGTGTCCCCACCAGGCCCAGCGCACAGCCAGGGAGGGTGGCCAATCGTATCGTGATAACTACGCATGGGGCCAGGGAATCTCTCTGTACGTCATACGTCGCATAAATGTCTAACCCAGTGGTTCTCAACCTGCGGGTCGCGACCCCTTTGGCGGTCGAACGACCCTTTCCCAGGGGCCACCTAAGACCATCCTGCATCTCAGATATTTACATGACGGCTCATCACAGTAGCCACATGACTATGATGAAGTAGCCACGAAAATAATGTCATGGTTGGGTCACCACGTGAGGAACTGTATTGAAAGGGCCAGAAGGTTGGGAACCACTGGACTCTAACCAATAGGCTGTGCACCTGCAACGAATATGACGTTGGATGGCGACTGTCATTGGAAAATGTTTCAATCAATAAATTAATTGCTTTCAAAAGAGGTTCCAATGATACTGATTTTTAAACAACAACAACAACAAAAACACCACCCCATCGGCTGGGCTACCCCTGGGCGCGGCCCCACGGACTTGGGTGGGAGCTGGGTGCTGAGAGTCAGTTTGGGTGGTTTTCTGTGATCCGTCCCTCAGCAGCGCACACTCACCATGGTAACGCTCAGGCCTCCTTCCGGAAACGCTCTTTCCTCCTCGCTTATATTATAACGATTCAAGGGAAGAGCTATCCAGGCCCATCAATTCAACGAGGCTTATTAAATGCCTGGTACTAAGTTAAACATCACTAACAAGGAGCTGCTAAAAGCCTCCGTGGGAAGCCGCGCTTCCCTGAGCCACGTGGGAAATTAGGTGGCACCTGACGCCTTCTCCCTGCTTCATGCTCGCCCCCAGGAGCTCTGGCTCAGGGGAGACCTGCGGTGCTCGTTAAAGGAGAGAACATTAGAGGCGTTTAAAATTAGGTGCCCAGTGATCTGCAAAATCACAAAGGTTTCCAGCGGATTGGGAACGTTTTCCTGGCTAGAACCAGGAGGGAAAAGGGGAGTCGACCCCCCAAAAGATGAAGGTTATCGGGTCCAGATGGATGCTGAGATTTGGTCTGTTTTACTGCTTTTCACCAAGTGGGATTGGTCTCCTCGTGGCTCTCCTTTCCTGCCCCGTGTTCTGCGGCTGCCAGGGGATGGCGGTTTAGAATTCCAGCGAATCTAAGTCAGAGCCACGCTGTCCCCGGAAAGGCCAGTATTGTCCCACTCGGCCACGAGGCCCTGGGATCAGGGATGCGTAGAAGGTCAAGAGCAGAGCACCAATTCTACTACTTGGGGGTCTGACACGTGAGGCCAGAACTTACAAAACAAAACAAATGATTTCCCAAAGCTTAACTGCACCCGATTGGAGGGAATATGAAGGGCTGGGAGGGGAACATCTTCTTAGTCCTAGGATCCCAGGCCCGTGAGAGGAAGCTTGGCTAGAAAGAGAGGATCCCTGTTTTCTTACCAATTACAAAAGCATCTATTACGACAGTCCCTAATTGTATAGACGGGGCCATTTTATAGGGCAAATTAGGTCCACTTACAGGTAACTATAGGCGGTCAAGTCTAACAGCTAAATCTGACATCACCCGTGCCACACGCACACCCGCCCTGCGCAGAACAAACAGGGCGGTCCACCTACTCACCCAGGCCACCTTGACAGATGTCCGCGCGGGTGGCGCCACCGGCGATGAATTGGGGGCTGGGGCACAATTCCTGAAAGCAATTGAGGACAAAACACAAGTCATAAGATGCCCGGCGATGGTGCCCACGAGGGTAAAGATGGCTTCGGAGTCCCTGAACTCAGACTTCACAGCAACCTAGGAGGTCATCTCTCGTCCCCTCCTCACCTATCGAAGGCGTCCTCAGTCTCCTTCAAGGGTTCCTCCGCTCCACTCCCCCCTAAGAAGCAGGGAACCCCTGGCCAGGCCTCAGGCCTCTGCAGGGACCCCATTTCCGGGGGCAGCCTGCCTAAGCATCCTCTCTCAGCGACAGAGCCCAACCCCGTGGCTTCGACTCCTGACAGTGGAACACGCAGGCACGTGTCCCAAGTCACTCGCCTGAGCTGGCCAGCCCGTTACCCACGTCACACTGTCCATGCGATATCAGCTCATTCGACACATGGCCGATAAGCCTACCGGGTTCTGCTGAAATGTTGAGTTCGGTTTAAGAGACAGAGTGGTTTGCAAAGGCCAGAGACACGTTGAAGTGTGATGAGCAGGACGGTGCTAAGCGGGGTGTACGTGGAAGGAATGTTCATTTTATGACATATTCTTAGCAGGTTCCAAAATGCACCTCCCCTCCCCCCGACCCAGGAAAAGAACAACCCAGGGACATCATGACTAATATGTCATGAATCTTTCGGGGGCCACAGGGCGTCCCTGGTTCTGTAAGGGGATGGCATCTCAGCCTAGGCCGGAAGAACATTCCGGAAGTCTTCTCTCCAGGGCTAACTGTCTACTGGAACTCGGATCGGAGACACAAAGCAGTTTGGCCGCCAAAGAGGCTGAAAAGAGGCCGGGAGGCTCCCCACCCACCCACCCACCCCCACAACACACACTTGGGACACTGTTTTGTTTCCTTCCTGAATAACAACCACATCTTGTCATTAGCAACGGTGACTATTACTCCGGTGAGGATCTCAGCACACTCCGTAAACACACATGACTCAGGCCTTGCTTGCTTTGGCCCCTGATGAATGGGTTCGAGGGAAACACGGGCACCGGTAAGGGGTCCGAGGCAGGAAGGCACTGCAATCGCATGTTCTTGTGGACAAAGGCAACTTGCAAGCATTGCTCCCAGGGCGTTAGACCGTCATTGGGACCCTCTGCTTCCTGCAACCCCAGCTCCAAAGTCTCTCTGCAGTAATGAACCTGCCCCACCGCCTTCCCCAATAGTGCAGAGCCGATGCCAGACACAAACAGAGGCCTAGCCCTGGCCGGTGTTGCTCAGTGGGTTGGGTGACATCCTGAGCACCGAAGGGTTGCCAGTTCGATTCCCAGTAGGGGGCAGCTAATGGATATCACACTCTCATGTTGATGTTTCTCTTTCTCTCCCTCTCCTTTCCACGCTCTCTAAAAATCAATAAACTATTCTTTAAAGAAAAAAAACAACAACAGAGGCCTAAAAATACTGTCTGTTGAAATAAAATGTAGCTGTGAATTCTTAAGACAAGAATATAAAACCATCGCATAGAGGGGATAAATGGTGATGGGGGGGAAAAATGAAAGGAAGACACCCCCAGTTAAAACAAAGAAAGAAAGAATATAAAACCATGATTCCCAACCTTGATTTTGCCAGCATCCCAGAGGAATGCCATATGTTTCAAGAGGGGTGGGCAGACGGACCTGGGTGGGCAGGAGACAGGCAGGCAAAGGAGTTACCCTCAGAGGTAGAAACCGTGGGGCAGAACTGGTCGGATGAAAATGAAGGGGTAGGGATAGGATTTGGCCATCTATCTATAATAATAAATGCATAATATGCTAATTAGACCGAACAGCCGAACAACCTTCCGGATATCCTTCCAGACAACCTTCCGGACGAAGCCGGGGATGCGAGGGCCGAGTCTCTTGCACGAATTTCGTGCATCAGGCCTCTAGTATCCAAAGAATTATCTTCTTATCCTCCCTTGTCATCCAGGGCCAAGAGAACGGGTACCACGACTTGATTTTCCCATCATGCTCTAGAAGACAAAGGCTCCCTGGCCAACAGCCACGGAACATGTGCTCTTATGAGACGTCTTACGTGGCAGACGCTGAACAGACTCTCTCAGTTCTCACAACCACCCTGCAGAGGGGGCTCCGACCCCTGAGGGCAAATCACGGGACACGGGTCCCATCGCAATAGGTCAGGGGCACGGGTTTGGGGGGGATGGTTCTCTATTCTCTGCCTCTGAGTTTGGAGTGATACCAGTGACAGCATTCAGGAGGCCCTGAGTTCACAGGAGGCCGCGTTCACAGCCCCACAGCCCCCACCTCTCCACTCACCAGCCCTGATGGAGCAGTGACCCAGCTCGTGACCTTGAGCAATGGCTGCACCTTTCAGCAACCATGTCACCACTTACCCCCGACCAATGGTGACATCTAGCACTGGTCTGTTCCCCTGTGCCCTGGCCCAGGGGCCCAGGCGGTCACGACCATGTGGTCTGTGCCTGTTGTGGGCCAGGCACGATGCTCGTAGCTTCATCTATAGCCCTCATACCAAACCCTGAAAAAATCAGGTGCCAGTGGGACCATTCCACAGATGAGAAAACTGAGGCTCACGGAGGTTATGGGTCCAAGACCACACAGGCAGAGCCAGGATTCAAATCTAACTCGTCTGATCCCAACGCCTCTGCATGCTCTTCCCTCTAACCTCACTACCTCTGAAAAACATTGTTAAAGGGAAAGGGGTTCTGAAATATGGAGTCTAAGAATTGAGGATCCAGAGCCACACCTTCTCCCTCAACTACTCCTGACCTGAAGCCAGAGCCCCCCCATCCTGCCTGACACCTTACAGCAAGCCCGTCTCCTTACCGGGGGCCGCTTCCAGACAACGCCTTGAGTTTCAGGGGAACGTGGTCCAAGATCCTTGTAGCCCAAGGCTGACGGACACGCTGGGAACTCGGGGTCCTTAAACAGCACCCCTGAATCCAAGCACTGCTGCCTGAGCGTCTCGAAGTCCTGGCCCAAGTATTTCACAACCTTCTGGTTGGAGCCAAGACGTCCGGCTGCCGCCCGCTGCCTGGACACCTGGGCCGCCGGAGCTGCCATGGCCTCGGGTGGGCTCCGTGGGCGGGCTGCGTGGGGAGGACAGGAGGGCAGGGCTGCTCCGTGCTCTCCCCGCTGGGAGGGGAGCTATAAGGCCGCGTGGAGGGAGGTGGAGCTGGCAAACATTTCACCCGAGGCGTTCGCTCCAGAGGGAATGAGTCATGGCCAGAAGCAAACAGGTACCCACGGTGCCCGGGAACATGCCCACCTTCCCTGCCTGCCTTTCCCCCCTGATCTGGACGCTGGGGAACTCCCAGGGTCCCTCATGGACCACTAACCTGGGAGATTCATTCGGATCCCAGCAGCCCCCCCTCTTTGCAGGGCCTGCGTGCCCCCCACACACACACCCGTGGACTGAGGCGAGAAGCTGTCTGGTAGCTGGAGGCTGGGACTCACCAAGACTTGGAACCCTGGCTCTGAGAAGGAGGGGGGCCAGGGTGTTAGGGGGGTCCCCGTTCTTTCCAGAAAAGTGTGGTTCCGTATTTGCTAGGCGGATACAAGTATCAGAAAGGGGTGATTCACGGAGCAGATTAGAGGAAGCCCAATGGGACATGGGGCCCACGCTGCGGGAGGTTCTGGCCTCTGGCGGCCTGGGTGGCTCGCCCAGCTCCACCGGCAATCAGCTTCATCCCCTTCGGAGAGTGACTCAGTCTCCCTCCCGCTTCGTTTCCTCATCTGCAAAATGGCAGGTACTAGCAGGGCCTGCCTCACCAGGTTGTTAGGAGGAGGGATGAAACAGGACACGTCCTGGGCTTAGATTAGTGGGTGAAGAGGGCTCAGGACACGTCAGCTGTCATATCCCTAGGGACCAGGACCGGACAGAGGAGGCCTGGAAACCTCATATTAATCCCTTTCCCCGGGGCTCCCATCTCCTAGGCCTGGGCTACCCTAAGGACGTGGGCCACATCGGTGATTTCTGAACCTTAGCGTGTGGCAAGCTGGAAAATGGTCCCCCGGCCCTAGCCGGTGTGGCTCAGTGGATAGAGCGTCCGTCTGCGGACTGAAGGGTCCCGGGTTCAATTCCAGTCAAGGGCACATGCTCCAGTTGCAGGCTCA